CATGCATTTATATACATATGTTCGTGCTTTATAGGTACAACTCCAAAAACTAGGAATTTTGTTTGATTTAAGGAAATAAATATAATATTTGTTTAATATTCTTCGTATAACGAAAACTCTTAATAACGGAAAAAGTATCAGGTACCTGACTTATGTTATGTAAAGTTTCACATGTTTGACATATCTCCATGCATTTATATACATATGTTCGTGCTTTATAGGTACAACTCCAAAAACTAGGTATTATGTTTGTTTTAAAGAAATAAATATAATATTTGTTTAATATTGTTCTTATTTTCGGTTAGGCTAATAATAATTATCACACAAAATTCAATACTTCAGTTCCTCAATTTAGCCATAAAAGTCAAAATATTGACTTCTAGTTTCTAAGCTTATAACAAAAATAAATGAAAATGTTTCATTTGCGATATTACGTTATTTTAATCATACAAGACTAAATCGAGTCATATAAATTTTAGAAAAGCATATCTCAAATTCGGTGTTAAAGTAAGTATGTCTTGATGGAGCAGGTTCTCTAGATTAAGAATATTTCACTTTCATGTTATTAATAACATACGAGTACTTAATTCCAATATTTCATCCCCCAAATATCCCAATATAATATAAAGAAAACAATGTTTCGATTGGATTATTTATTATTAGTTTTCTTCATTTACGCCAATAATTTTCATATATTTCTGATTTAGTATCGGCGACGACGATATACGCGGCGACGAGCAGTTTTGTAACGGTAACCATCACTAGAAGAAAAGCTATGGGCAGGAGCAGATTCTGCATAAGAAGGTTCAGCGTATGATTCAGACTGATAGGATGCAGCTGGCGCATATGTTTCCGATTGATAAGATGGGGCAGCAGAATAAGAAGAAACTGCAGAAGATGCAGCTGGAGGCAAGTATTCAACGGAAGGTGATGAAGCTGCTGGAGGCAAATATTCGCTTGAAAGAGCATCACGACGCTGACGATGACGGTATACTACACGTCTTTGAGTTTTGTAGCGGTAACCGTCCGATGAGGAGAAACTATGCGCAGCAACAGGATCCGAGGCTGCATATTCTGGTTCGGCTAGGACACTAGGAGCAAAAACATTATAGCTTTGCTCTGGAGCGCTGTAAGATGGATCCGATACTGGAGCACTATAAGTCTGTATTGGAACGGAAGCAGCAGCTGCATAAGTTGGTGGAAGGTATTCATTGCTTAAGTGGCTAACATCAGCGGTAACAGATGCCACCAAAAGACCCGCGAAAAAGTAAATTTTCTGGAAGAAAAAAAATCATTAATATATCATACTTTCGCGAAAAGATCTGTTATTCAATCTTATGACTTCAATCCAATATGACTTTGTCCGTATGTTTATTATTTTACCATTTTGAATAGTTTATCTCCTAATCCGTGAAGAAACCAATTGAAAGTGATACTTTGTCCGAAAATTTACTGGTTTTATAGTCTGCGTAGAATGATGCGCGAAGCTGTCGCAACAGCATTGCTTCAAATAAGTAAACAAAAGTGACACAAACGTACAGCTGCAGATTATGCAAGCAATAAAGAAATAATTTTAGTTTCTAAACCAGTTCTATTGTGATTAGAATTAAATTTGCCTTATGACAAAATTACAATAAAAATTTCAATCCCCCTTTTAGACTAAATTATTAAAACCACTCAACATGTAGTATCCTGCAATTTGATACCTTTGGACGAACTCGACAATTTTGTGTTATAATTAAATGCTATTGCTATTATAAAATTTAAGTAAATTTTACATTGACACATAAATAAAAACAGCAGATTTTTCATTATAACACCTCTCGTAATAATACGCACAAAAGAAAATTGTTCGGAACCATGATTTTAATTTTTGTAGTTAGTCTATTTGAATTAATGTACCTTGCCATTAGTTCCTTGTCTTAACGTGAGTTTCATAACCACTCTTAACACTTTCAATATACTCGTACACACGTGTTTGTATGTAAATATTGCAAGTTTTGCCTAAATGTCTCGAAAAATATATGCATGGAATTAATGGTAATTTTTAAAGACTTATTTTGTAAGGTATTTAATTTACTGCCAATTTTACAAAAAAGACATGTTTTATTCATTATTAAATTTTATTACTTATGAAATCCATATCCATACTAACCCATATTAATATATTATAATATGTCAACGTATGTTTGTATTCTGCGCTTTCACGCCGAAAGTACATAGGTGATCGTTATGAAACTATGTACACATATTTGTAATGATATTAAAAAGAATATATGGTACTTATTATTACTAAATTTATATTTTTTAACAAATGGTGAAAAAAATAATTTTGGTAGATATGATTTTTTGTGAAATAAGTTTGAAAATTGAACAAATTTATTTTGGTAGAAATAATTGTTTGTTGAAAAATTTGAAAACCAAATACATCGAAAGCGTCTTCGTTATACATACATATTTATATAAATTAGATAAAGTTAGGTTTTTCTGCACCAGCACCACGAAGATGATCAATGCGGTATTGTATTCGTGTACATACTATGTATTTAACTATTTGCTTGTGATATTTATGTAAGGGATTCAATACGAGCGAAGCCGCGGGTAAAGCTAGTAATTATATAAAAGAATAATATCTTTATTGAACTTCCATATTTTAGTTTACATTAATGCAATTTCATTCTATCTTATAAATTTTTTAGATATCTACTTAAAAATTAAATATAAGAGAAAAATAAAATCCGACCTTCATTCATTTTTAGAACCAAATTTAATATATGAAGTATAGTAGGAAAAAACCACCAAAGGGCAAAAATCATAATATTGGCCCAAAGCTTAAGCAATTATTCACTATATTATAGTAAAAAATTATGTTAATTCTTTGGAGTATCAAGTCAACCGGAAAGTATAAAATCACTCTATTGCGTATAATGGGGCTAAGAGGTCTAGGCGGATTTCATTTACTTTTGGAAAACCAAAATATGATTGAGAAAATATTTCCATCCAATTTTATGTATATGTCTTGCAGATAGTTTACTTATTTTTAAATTGTAGAATGTCTTGTTGATACAGTATGAGCAATTTGTGAGTTATGTACATTAAACTTATTAGAGGAAGGGGTCAAGACCCCTTTTCAAAAATTGTAGAACCTACACCCCATATTAATCATCTGTATCAAATTCAAGTTGTTATAATCTCGCATTGGGTGTCCTCGTCCCCGAGTGTCCTCGTCCTGTGAGTGGAGATTGTCCGTCCGTCCAGTTGTGCAAGTGGTAACTTGAGTTAAAACTTATTGTAGATATCTTGATAAAACTTGGTACACATGTTTTTAGGTACCATAAAAAAGTTACTATTGCAGATGGGCGGAAAGAACAAAAAAACAAGTAAGGAAAGACTAAGTTCGAGTGTAAACAAAACCTTGCAACTTGCAAGGAATGAAGACGGAGGAATACCTTCAGGTTTTGGCAAAACTTTATATCAAACTAAGGAAAGTATCGCCGTGATTTCATTCATTCAAGGAAAGAGGATACACTTTTATTAGAAAAAGATTATTTCTGAATTTAATCAAGATTTCTTACACATTAACCGATAGATGCCGTATAAAGAGAACTGTAGGTTCGAAAATATTTATGTTAGGTATATGGGGGCTAAGGGAAGTGTTCACCTGCTTTTACTCATTTTTGGCACAAATTATAGTGCGATTTCGACAATTTTTGGATGTAAGATGAAATACCTTGCGAACAGTTTTTTTCTGTTAACTTTATTGATGTTTGATTTGTATACTGGGAAAGAACCAGACGGAGTTTAAAATATTGTTATTTGGGAAGTAGGCGTGGTTGTCATCCAACTTCGCCCATTTTCGGAGTGTCTAATGGAAATGTTTGGGTAACCTCACACACTAAATATTTTGAAATCAGTCAATTAGTTCCTTAGATATATGATTTCACCTAAAGGTGGGCGGTGCCACGCCCCTTGTCCAATTTTCACAACATATCCTAAAAACCCTTCTCTATCATCCTGGTTGTGAAATTTAATACTTGTGGTACATTTATTCAGTGAGTACATTTATTCAGTGAGTTAGAGTACTTTTGTTAGTTTTCAACATAACGGTTGTGAAATTGAATACTTGTGGTTCATTTATTCAGTGTACGCCTACGCCTACTCTCCACATAACGGTTATGTTGAAAACTACCAAAAGTGCGATAACTTTCTAAACAAATATGTTAGATTTGATTCATTCATAGGAGCCGGGAGCAAAATTATGCAACGGGGGTGGATATCGCTCACATTCACGAGAAATCTTATATCTGCTACACCAATTTGAACGAAACTTGGTGCGTAACATTATATCGTATTTCTATCGTCATGTCACAGTACGAAAATGGATGAAATGGGACTACAACCAACTCTAGATTTCT